AGACAATAATTTATCGTGTCCGAAATTACGTCACGAATCGACTTTCTTAATTCCCCAACGTCGTCTTCGAATTTAATTTCAATTCTCACGTAAATTTTCCCTCAAAGCTTAAGTAAACATATGAACGTGCAGATGTATGGGGGGGAGGAATGGATGTATATATCCACGCATTCTTAACTTCGTCACCAGAAGGGGCTGAGAGGTCAGCTTCACGCCCTGACCGTTTTAACACAGAGAAAATAAAAGTTTAAAATATTACCATTCGTCTCTCTGATGATGGACACACAAAGTACTTCGAAACGTCAGTAAACTTCTGTCAGTTTGCACAGCACGACATCCTATAAGGCAGCCATATTTATTATCAAATTGAATTTTGTAGATTTCTGCGTAATCTTTTTAAGGCGTGTTATTCTGTATTATCATCGGGTGTAATTAAGAGTCTCAACACAAAGAGGAACCTGACATGGGCCGATCAATTCCGTTCATTTGTGAACCTTTTCACGAGTCGCCCGGAAAGCACGCGAGACGGGTAGTCTAAACAAGGAGCTGCAGGCGCACTGTCGCCCCGAGACTCACCTCGCCGCTGTAGACGTCCGAGGCGTACAGTAGGTCAAAGGGGAGAGCTGCCAGCAGGTCGACTATGAACCAGCTCTTGAGGTAGTTGAGGGCAATGGACCGAGAGTTCGAGACCACTTCACCCTTGCAGTTCACGTACGTTGTTCGGAAGTTCAGGATGATGTCTGTAAAACAGCAAAAAACATTCGCGTGCTTGGATATCCGGTTCATTTTCCTTTAGAATATGATAGTTGCTCAGCTGTTACAAAATTTCCACCTTAAAAAATAGTCTAAAGTTTATCACCACATGAAAAAAACCCCGCATGTGGACCAAATCCTGAGCCAGCTGAATCCACTCCACACAAGTTACATTTTAATAGTATCACGTTTTGTAGTTACTTTTTGTAAGGCGGCAGAAAACTCAGCTTGTAGTTTAATCTTTTTAACCAAAGAGTAGGCCATGTTCATGGCTAGTTGGAATAAACGTGCTTTTTTAAAGTACGACCAAGTTCACGCACTCTGCCACACCAATTCCGCGGTGACCTCAGGAAGACCTACGGGGTTTAGCTACTGCAGATGCGATTCAATTGCGTGTTGTAGCATCCAGGAGAAATACTTTTGTGTGCGCCTGCCGTTCAGTCGTTTTTCCATTACAGCAATCCCCCGCGGCCAAAGCTCATCCCGACACTTCGATCATATATTTCTACACTGACAGAAATGACATCGATTCTAAACCCCGCGTATGTCTGTCTTTACGTGCAAGGTGAAAAATATATCGCCATTCTCTCCGAAATGGAGTTATTTTACGTGTCAATTTTTTTTTTATTACAAGACGTTTCTTCAATTCACTTGTGCAGAATCCGCACAGAGAACGTAGAATCTGCCAAGAACATAACATTTGAACAAATGGAGACAAACCAAAATAAAAATGACCATGACGGTTGACCGCCCTGATGATGGAGGCAGCAAGCACCTCCGAAACGTCGGTAAACCTCTACCACAGTACACGTGGGCAACATATAGAAGACGGCCATCTTCACGCTCGCCTGATATTTGAAGCTTAAGAAGAGGCGTTTCGTGATTTTCCTCAGTTTTTGCCTGACATTATGCAACTATACCCTCGTTCCTTATCCTTTCATCGACCTATAGTCTGAGCTTGTGATAGCGTCGTTAAATAAACCACTTCTTTAACCCTTTAAAAACTAGTAGTAACTATGTGAACCACCTGATTCAGCATTTATTAACTCCGCATTTTAAACAAAATGTGTATTTATGTGTTTCGTATGATTCTCGTTATAAACAGCGATTATTTCCTTAAACAGCGTTAACCAGTTGATCTTACTAATGGTGAGGCGTTGTGTTTTCTTCGCGGTACGGACTGAATATTTAAATATTATTCAGATTCCTACGTAGTGTATTTATGTTTTTCGTATAATTCTGAAAATAAACAGCGATTATTTCCTTAATCAGCGTTAACCAGTTGATCTTTGTAATGGTGAAGTGTAGTGTTTTCTTCGCGGTACGGACTGAATCTTTAAATATTATTCAGATTCCTACGTAGTGTATTTATGTTTTTCGTATAATTCTGAAAATAAACAGCGATTATTTCCTTAATCAGCGTTAACCAGTTGATCTTTGTAATGGTGAAGTGTAGTGTTTTCTTCGCGGTACGGACTGAATCTTTAAATATTATTCAGATTCCTACGTAGTGTATTTATGTTTTTCGTATAATTCTGAAAATAAACAGCGATTATTTCCTTAATCAGCGTTAACCAGTTGATCTTTGTAATGGTGAAGTGTAGTGTTTTCTTCGCGGTACGGACTGAATCTTTAAATATTATTCAGATTCCTACGTAGTGTATTTATGTTTTTCGTATAATTCTGAAAATAAACAGCGATTATTTCCTTAAACAGCGTTAACTAGTCGATCTTTTTAATGGTGAAGTGCTGTGTTTTCTTCGCGGTACGGACTGAATTCTTAAATATCATTTAAGATAAATTTCGGGCTTCAAAGGGCAGATGTTTTAGGTCTCACATATTGGACGAATACAGAGTTTCGTTGGTTCCTACACAAAACTTAGGCTGTATGCTACAATGGTTAGAAGTGAATTAAGAAAAACGTCTTTTGGGATTCGACCCAGAGACCGCCAACCTCGTCGCTTTAAGGCACAATAAAAGATGAGAAACTGTAGTTTCTCGAGTGAAAGATTCCGAGAAAAGATTCATCAAGATCCATCTGCTGATATTGATTCGATCAGTTTCAGACTTTGTCAGCACGCGTTATAATTCCAGGGCTGGAGTCTCGTCTTCTGGAAGTGAATTCAGCGAAGAACACAAAGAAATATTGCTACTGTAGCGCTGTTTATAAGTATTCAATATCAGATCCGTATTATGCCACTTATATTATATTACTTTCATTCCACACACAAATTGACTTCAGCAACCTCTTATCCAGGGTGGAGTGCTCACGAAATGAAGCGACTCAGAGACGTGAGTGGGTGTTCTCAAGGATTCAATTTAAAATGTACAGCTCAGTAAATAAATTTGATCTCAAATAAATACAGGCGCACGACGAGAAACAAAACCAACATTTGTAACGCTCGGTAAGGAGAACTTCGTGTACAAATTCTTCAGCACGTAATTAATAGCAACAACGCAAAAAAACAACAACAAAGATTTGTAAATAAATAACTAAGAATGATTTCTGTAAATATATCTCGTCCCAAAAGTCACAAAACCCGAAGTTTAAAGGTAAGTATTTTATTGTAGCAAGGAAATTTTAAACAAAAGTTGTAATTACGTAATTAGAACATTACAAACACGACATCCAACTTTGGGTTGCGTGGCTTTTGGGGCAAACTGTATATGTCATTCGGCTCTAAAATGGCTGTCATTCCAATACGCATCCACGCATGAAAGAGGCTTCGCTAATCTTGTCTTTGACACGAAGTTCAAGATTCGCTCTCACGTGAAGAAGCTAAATCACCTGTAAATTTTATTGCAAAGACATTACATTTTTACAAAGCTCTCAAAGCGTCTGAGGAAAATCACTACGATCACATAAAACTTATTTTGGATATTGCCTACTCGACGTTTCGGTAGTTGGCCCTGCACTGACAATTTTTGTCCTTTGAATACAAGACTAATGTGTTTAGACTTTTCTCGAATTACCATAAACCCTTTTCCCAGAGAATTCATTCTGCCCATTTAATATTTGGAGCTGAACAACTTCGTGACGTACCACGACGATCCTTGATGATGAAACTAATCAGTAAAATGACAGACTTCGAGCTGGATGACCTGAGTTCGATTCCCGGAAGAGGCAGATTTTTCTTCTCTTAGTCCGTTTATCCAGTGGACATTGCTGGATTTTTTTCGATGATCGGAGAGTGCAGCTGACAACAACTCTCCACCATCTATTGCCGAGTTTAAACTGAGTGGAGCTTCACCTCCACTCTTCAATACGTCCTTAAAACTTTGCATTCTATGCAGTGTCGAATATTTATCTAAAATATATAAAATCATGCGACCGCTTTAAGATCAGCGCTTTATAACAAATCATCGTCTTATAAATTATATGATTTAATAGACGAAGACTAATGAATTAATGTTTTTGCCACTGATGATGACCTCTTGAGGTCGAAACGCGTTCGGCACTAAGTGTTTTTTCAAAGTTTAAACCGTTTTGTTTGTATGCATGATTTCATATGTTTTAGGTAAAGATTTTACCTATAAATTTACATTTATAAAACGCTGATATTTAATTAACTTTTTCTTGAACCTTTAAAGTTGGACGCTTGTACAAACTCTAAAAACTTCACGAATCTCTACAATTATTCAGGAATTTGATTCTATTTGTTTGACAGCTCTCGGTTTATTACATCACTTTATGTTTTGTAGTAAAAGACCCTGTAGATGTGGACAATTACCAGCCGAGTCGTCATTAAAAATAACATCGAACATTCTATTTCGGACTTTGTTAAAATGAAGCAAATATATCTCGTCAACAAATCTCCAGAGGTAAAAAAAATTCAGTCGTAAGATGTCATATTTAACGACGTTAAAATTTCATCTCGGCCCAAAAATAAATTAATTTTTCTAACGTTAAATTCAGGTTTAATTACTTCACTTGGACAAATTCGATATAATAAAGTTGTTTTAAATTTTGTTACACAGTTGCCCGATCCCTACCCCGAGTCGTCTCTGGCATTTCCTTAAAATTCCATCTGTCTTTCGTCAACTCCACAGTCTGAAGTTTTCGAGTTATTACTGAAAGACTGTCCTTATTTGCTTTGCACTTCGATTCCTGAAACACGTAAAGGCGAACTTCTCGTCGGAGATTCTTCAAATGAACCGAGAAGTTCGGGCAAATAAAATTCAGCCATGAAATATCCCTCCCCACTTCAAGAAAAAATCAAAAGTCCTAGGAAAATAAATTACTTTGACTGGGATTTGGGGTGCATTCGGACCAATTATAACACGTCACAGAAACGAGAGATAAGACCACGATTGAAACATCTGATATTACATCTCATTTTCTTGAGATAAGACCACGATTGAAACATCTGACATTACATCTCCGTTTCTCTTTAACTGGTCCACAGCGGAAGCAATCAAGAACCATAGAAAAGATTTCGTTTTTGATTTCTATGGTGGGCATTGCGTTGACACACGCCCAGATCAAAAGAAATCCAAGATACTGAAGAGTTAAAACCTTTTTTTTTACATTATCGGAGGTGTCGGAGGGAACATTAGGCCTTAACAAGGATAAATTAACGAGAGAATGAAAAAAATAATTACATTACAAGGAACTTTCTAATGTCTACTCGTAGCGAAGATATTCTACTATTACGGCGATCAAATTAAAGATCACGAAATGACTGTGACATATACGCACGAGGAAGTGAAACGCGTAATTAATTTTCGTCGGAAGGGAATAGACCACTCAAAAGAACAGGCGAAGATGTGAGGATAATATTAAAACGAATCTAAGCCAGTATAATTGGGAGAGTGTGGACTGGATTGATCTAGATCAGGGCTGGGATCTTGTAAATATGATATGATATTGAGGAATACGAGGCTCGATGGACCTTGTCTGGCCTTCGCTTACCAATGATGAAAAGAGCTTCTACGGCCACATCGCTGACCATGGAGGGACGGTCCAGGTTGACGAAACTGGCGTTGTACGGGACGACTATGGCGACGTAGAACGTAGCGATGAGGATGAGCCAATCCCAGCAACTCTTGAAGACGCCGTAATGCGACAGGATGAAACGGGACTTCTTCAGGGCGGCCGTCTTGTACTCCGGAAGAGGAGCTGCTGTCGGCTGCAACAGCGTCTGTAGAAATAAAAGGGTAATGACCACGTTCTTGGAGCACAGTCCATCTTGAGAAGAAAGTTGATCAACGCCTTGTATGGAACGCAAAGGTTCATCGCCGTGTTCACAACATCGCGCAGATTTATGAACAGTAAAATAATCGAGTGCTTCATTGTTAAGAGAGTTTTAAACCCCTCAGAAGCTTTTATTAAAATCGATTTTTTTGTCTGTCCGTCCTGCAACAACTCAATAATAGCTGAACAAAATCTCATTCACTAACATTTTTCGGCACGCTTAAATTTAGTTTTAAATCTAATAAAAATAACGGGCACTTCACACGCGGCATTCCATGCTTTTCTACGCGCTGAAGTGACTAAGTGGGGAATCCACCTGACGGGGAATCCTCCGGATGGGGAATCCTAACTTGCTTTTGTCAGTCACAAATGACATTTCCGGTAAAACTAGATTTTTTTTTAAAATGGGCAGAGACATATTTCGTACACCTATCTTGTTCTTCTGCCATAAATTTCTGCTCCGACTGTACTGTCATTTAAGAGGAGGTATTGTGTCATGGCGACGAGCGTGAGGCTGCAGATTCGTGTGTGTTCCATTGTCTTAATAGAATTATGAAAATGGAGGATTACTTATATTAGACTTCGTAACGTTCCGTTTGAAATGGACGCTGTTATGTCGTACCTACCTCGGTAAATAACACGTTATGTTATGAAAGCAATTCATTATATTCTGAACGAATAAGACATCGCAATACGACGAGACATCACAACAAATGTGAGAGCAACAGAATTAATGTGTGATGTGGCGTTGTACATGGAATTTCTTGACCAGCTGATCCTAATATTAGTTTTTTTTTAAGAATTCTGCTCCATGAAGGTAGTTAACACTTAGAAACCCGATGGTAACTATATGTACCTCCTGCTTTAACAATCTGTAACTGCTAAAAATGTGTGTTGATAAATAAGATTTTCACTGTAAACAGCGATTATTTCCTTAAACAGCGTTAACCAGTTGATCTTTGTAATGGTGAAGAGAAGTGTTTTCTTCGCGGTACGGACCGAATTTTTAAATATTTTTTTTAGACAAGCTGTGGGTTTTAAAGGGTTAACCAGTTGATCTACGTAATGGTGAAGTGTTGTGTTTTCTTCGCGGTACGGACTGGATTCTTAAATGATATTTAAACGAGTTTCGGGCTTAGACCCTGCCTGGGGATATTCGGCCAAAATGCACTTCAGTGAACATCAAGTTTTTCAGAATAAGATACTGGGAATTATTAATAAACCTCCGATGGTAAAGCCAATCGAAATTTTACATGGGCAAAATTTCACGTACACGTTTAAAATCCATGTCAGGAATCTCGCATGTAAATTGTATTTTAAAAGCCAGTTCAGTTAAAATCCTAAAATCAGGCAATTAGTCTAATACGATCCCGTGCTTTTATACTCACAAAAGGCCGCGGGCCCTACCAGGGGACTGATCTGTCGTACGTGCACATGTACCATACCACACACCGAAACAAATCAAAGTCCCGTCTGCGTAAAACGCTCCCGATTTTTGGAACCTGTGCGTCTGACCATGTTCCAGAGAGCACAGACCCTAGGCAATATTTAAGGGTGGCCCTCCTATGGAACAGACCAGCAGTCATACGACTGAGAGGACACCTGAAGAAGACCATGGAAACATAAGGACAATCAGCACTTCATTTATTATTTCATCCAGTACACTAGAACGTACCAATAAAGCCTCTGGCACTCAGGTTAGAGAAACCTAGAGGGCGGCAATGTTCCTCTTTCGTCTGCCGGACCGGACAGTAGTCAGTGCGCATCCGGAAGGTCCTGAGACCGGCCATCTTGACGAAGGCTTCCTTGGTTTTACTCTGTCTTCGAGTAAATGCTGAGATAGTTGCCAACTTCGAAGTCGCCACTGCATGCTTCTCAT